TTAAAAAAGCTAGTGTACTTAATTTATTATGAACACACAGACAAACTATAGTTACAATAACTGAACAAACAAAAAAATATCTTACCTCAATGCCCTGGATATTCGGAGGTGCAATTTCTTGCATGGGTTGCATACATTATAAAGAACATCGCCTGCACGGCGCTTACGTTTCTTCAGTTCATGTAACACCTCACACATGTCACTGACCACTCGCTTAAAAGGCATTTCCCACTTTCGCAGATGTTTTGGGTCGTAGCCCAGACGGTTTCCACTTTCATCAAAATCTATGATGCCTCCACAAACCACAAAATTAGAATTCGGTCTGAGCAGTTTGAGAATCAAATTTCTCGCATGATCTTTTGACTTAAAATGTCCTTTGTCTTTCAGAATCAAAAATACTTCCAGATTGTAAAATCCCATCGCATCACAAATATGTCGCACAGGGGATATGATCTTGTTTACATCACAATCGTCAAGTTTGGAAACATGCCAAACACCTTCGTCGGACTTCTCTTCTCCACATAGTCCATTCCAATCTCTTCTGCAATTTGTTTAATCAGAGGGAGCCATCCTCTGAGGTGCACAAGATTTTCACCTTGTTGAGCTGGGTAAAACTTGTAAGGACTTCTTCCGTTTTGACAATTTCTTTTTCGATGAGACGGACTACAGCTACTCGAGCAAAAACGCCATTTTGTTGGCTTCAGTGAACTCGCCCACGTTTTCTTGGTTTCTTCATTCTTGTTAATTGTTTTCGGACTATTAACTCTTTTAACACTTTCCACCATATGTTTTCTTCTGGGGGTGGTAGCAGTTTTGGGGAAAATTGGCTTACGACCAGGGCCAAAACCAACATTATGAAACTTAATCTTCATAATTTACGGGCCATGTTGCATTTGGGCAACTTTTTGGCTACGCAAAAGTCACGCAACAAGGGTTTCCAAATATGGTCAAAAATGAATATTCACGAGCATTGAACCCGAGTTACACGTTTCAACCCCTTATGGGTTTCTGAGGGTACCTAATAGGTGCTTAATCTTGCAATTTTGGCAAGACAGTATATTGAGGGTTTCTATTTTCGCGATTTCAATAGGCAAATGCGATGTTCTTGAAAGACCCGCACAATTAGGTGCCAATAAGGTACAAATGATTGCAAGTAGCTTAATAGCCTGTTCCAAGCTCAGAAAGTGGGGAAAAACGTGAAAGAAAAAGGCATGCGAAAAGTTTCCTCCTGTTACACTTTCGCTTTGGTGCTTTCTCAATTCAGCAGATCCGGCTATCTCGGAACCTGGAATAGGCTACATATAGCTAGCAAGTAACGCCCTCACAATATTGAATGCATTTAAAACAAAGCAGACAGGTTCCCGGTTATAAATTATTTTTAAGTGATGTCACAAAAAGGAAAGAAATTTTAAGGTTTTATCCTCAGCAAATCAAAGATCTCTAATAATGAACCTATTTACAAGTTTTCAACGTGTATAATTTTTGCATTCATTTTTTTGTAAATAATGCTCTCCTGTCATCTACTACGTTTGCTCCGTGTGGGAAAGAGAAGGCTGTGACAAAAACTGGTTTTAATCGTATATCATATTGTGTCCCTGAAACAGAACACGTATTAGAAAATTTGTGTCGGTTTGTCATTTAAAAAGGTGTTATCTTGCGAGTGAGCTATATGATTCAAATCCTTACTTATTAGCCAAACGTGTCGGGCGTATTTCAGACAAAAAAAGCTGTTCTTCTATTCTTGGACCACTGTCAAGTCGTATAATTGAAAAGCATCTTCAATAACGTGGAGCTTTGTGGGAATCACGCGGATTGAGATGGTCACTTTATGTGACCTGGCAGGTCTTCCTGAATCTCCGCGGCTCCATCGCACATCTTCCCAACCTCGTTCCCAGGGTCTCTCATCTTCCCGCCCAAGCGAGAGAGGAGAGACCCTGGTTGGGTCTGGTCACGTGCTACCTTGACAATTGAGAACATCAGGGAGGGGTCCTCTTGTAATCAGGCAGTTTGCCACTTTGAGCTTTGTCGAATTCAAAGCGAGGCTGATAGCATCGCGCTGTGTCTGCCATTACCCGCGATGTTTTACAGTAGCCTTCAGGCAGCAATTTCGAATAGTATTTATTCCAACGTTAATCTAAAGGTTAAGCAAGTGATTTGTCTCGAGGCATGGTCGTGATGTTGCAGTCGTACATGGAAAGTCAGTCATATTTCATCTTCTTCTTTCATTGTTCCTGGACAAAATCAACTGTGGACATCAAGCAGCGCAATCGCATCCTGTAGTAATTGTTGTTTCTCCTTTAAATGCGCTGATCAAAGATCAGATCAGAAGGCTCAAGGAAGGAAATGTCAATGCAGCTATATTAAACGTGAAGAACAAAACGAACTCGGAGGATTTGGAATTCGATTTCAGAGAGGCGAACCTCTCACAGCTAAGAGATGCGAAATACGAAGTCATCTTTACACATCCCGAAGCCTTCATATCTTGCAAGCAAGGACTAGAGTTATTCCAAACTGAGAAGTATCAAAGGAATGTTCACGCGATTGTAATTGATGAAGCCCATTGTATTTTGGAATGGTGAGTTTGGGAGTAATTTACCAATAGAAGCTCAGGATGTATCCTGATGTATTCAAGCCCAGTGCTCATAATTATTTGTGAAATTATGTACATGGAGTTATTAGTTTTCAGTGTTGTCTTAATTCGCACAGTATGTGATATGGGTAATTCTTTGCATAGCAAAAACCTCGCTGAACTTCGCTTTTCTTTTCGTACAAGCGTGTGAAATTTAAAGCAATAAATATTTTACTGAAAAAGTACATGGTAGAGTCCCAAAATATCCTTAAATAATATTGCCTCTTTTCTTATGTTTATTAGGGGAGATGATTTCAGGAAAGATTACTCCCAATTGGCAATGCTGTGTGCCACTTTTCCACAAGTGCCAGTTGTTGCATTAACTGCAACAGCAAGCAAAGCAGATGTCAAGGCAATAAAGGATTCCTTAGACATGAAAAAACCATTGGAAGTGATAGGGGATCCAAACAGAGCAAACATTTTTTATGAGAAGGTATTTCGTAAAGGCGATGACGTAGACTTCTTCGAAGAATTACTGAAGCCTATGGCAAGTGAATTGAAAGAAGTTAAATTAAATTATACTATAGTTACAATAACTGAACAAACAAAAAAATATCTTACCTCAATGCCCTGGATATTCGGAGGTGCAATTTCTTGCATGGGTTGCATACATTATAAAGAACATCGCCTGCACGGCGCTTACGTTTCTTCGGTTTGTGTAACACCTCACACATGTCACTGACCACTCGCTTAAAAGGGAATTCCCACTTTCGCAGATGTTTTGGGTCATAGCCCAGACGGTTTCCACTTTCATCAAAATCTATGATGTCTCCACAAACCACAAAATTAGAATTCGGTCCGAGCAGTTTGAGAATCAAATTTCTTGCATGATCTTCTGACTTAAAATGTCCTTTGTCTTTCAAAACCAAAAATACTTCCAGATGGTAAAATCCCATCGCATCACAAATAAGTCGCACAGGGGATATGATCTTGTTTACATCGCAATTGTCAAGTTTGGAAACGATGCAGCGAATGGTTTAAGATCCCTGCATACTTTGCTTTCATCTGTTGCAGAGGATTTGTGACTATGTGAAGAATGTTGGACACCTCTGCCAACTTGCTGTTCAAAATTTTCCACTATTTTCCATTGTCCCCCAGCAGCTCTGCTGGCACGGTCGATTGCTTTGTCAGTTTTGTTTGCACCCATTCCCCGTATCTCTTTCTTGATGTCTTTGTTCCTGTTCTCTTGCAGAATGTCAATTTCGATGTTCTTTCCAGGTCCACCTTTCCAGTTTGCAGTGGCAGCCCAAGTACACTGATGTGATTCTGCCTCTGAAAGTAACACTTCATTCTGCACAATGTTTATGAACATCTCAATTGCATAGGCATTGAATCCAGGCATTGACTTGAAAAGGGGCAGCAACTGTTTGTGCAGGGTTCCAACTCTCTTGCCATCTCCTTCCTTTACTGCATTCTTAAGATCTGCATAAACAAAGAAGTACTTCAGGAGACACATGGAGTAGTTTCAGACGAAATCATCATCATTATCAGAGCTGCCTTCATCAATGTCAGGGGCTGGGATGATGAGGAATTCATCAATGAATTTATCCAGAACAGAATGATAATAGCCCTTCTTGTTGTCTTGAACATCCAAAACATGATATGGGGGTCAGTTCCTGGTAGGACGAGCATCCGTGGTTTCCATATTGAAGAAATTAAGTAATGCTTCAATTGTGAAACACCGGCCAATGCTTAAAAACAACTGCTCGCAGTCTTCAAAGTGTTTGACATCAATAGTTACATTTCTTCGTTGTAGTTTTTCTCGAAAGAACCGCAATGTCCCTTTTTCACGGGCAGAATTCTTGTACAGCTTCTTAAAAATAAGCTACAAAAAATAATATTAATTATGGTTCAAGTGTATTTTACATCTAAATGGTTCAGAATCATCCTTAAAGGGGCTAGGTAACAGTATTTAAAACCTGCCATTTATTTCTGTTAATAATGAGTTCTAAACTTCACTTGGTATACCAACAGTATTTTAGTGACAAAATCACTGCCACGTATAACAAAAACAGATGATCTTGAGATAATTTAGCAACCAGTTCATCTTTGCTGAAATTTGCTAAAATTGCATGTCCTAGCCCATAAATCCACTTTCAAGTCACTTTTCAAAAAAGTGGACAGAATGAAGAATTTTAAACTAAACATAAACTTAATTTCTTTTTTTATTTTNCAACTTGCTGTTCAAAATTTTCCACTATTTTCCATTGTCCCCCAGCAGCTCTGCTGGCACGGTCGATTGCTTTGTCAGTTTTGTTTGCACCCATTCCCCGTATCTCTTTCTTGATGTCTTTGTTCCTGTTCTCTTGCAGAATGTCAATTTCGATGTTCTTTCCAGGTCCACCTTTCCAGTTTGCAGTGGCAGCCCAAGTACACTGATGTGATTCTGCCTCTGAAAGTAACACTTCATTCTGCACAATGTTTATGAACATCTCAATTGCATAGGCATTGAATCCAGGCATTGACTTGAAAAGGGGCAGCAACTGTTTGTGCAGGGTTCCAACTCTCTTGCCATCTCCTTCCTTTACTGCATTCTTAAGATCTGCATAAACAAAGAAGTACTTCAGGAGACACATGGAGTAGTTTCAGACGAAATCATCATCATTATCAGAGCTGCCTTCATCAATGTCAGGGGCTGGGATGATGAGGAATTCATCAATGAATTTATCCAGAACAGAATGATAATAGCCCTTCTTGTTGTCTTGAACATCCAAAACATGATATGGGGGTCAGTTCCTGGTAGGACGAGCATCCGTGGTTTCCATATTGAAGAAATTAAGTAATGCTTCAATTGTGAAACACCGGCCAATGCTTAAAAACAACTGCTCGCAGTCTTCAAAGTGTTTGACATCAATAGTTACATTTCTTCGTTGTAGTTTTTCTCGAAAGAACCGCAATGTCCCTTTTTCACGGGCAGAATTCTTGTACAGCTTCTTAAAAATAAGCTACAAAAAATAATATTAATTATGGTTCAAGTGTATTTTACATCTAAATGGTTCAGAATCATCCTCAAAGGGGCTAGGTCACAGTATTTAAAACCTGCCATTTATTTCTGTTAATAATGAGTTCCAAACTTCACTTGGTATACCAACAGTATTTTAGTGACAAAATCACTGCCACATATAACAAAAACAGATGGTCTTGCACTTAGCAACCAGTTCGTCTTTGCTGAAATTTGCTAAAATTGCATGTCCTAGCCCATAAATCCACTTCCAAGTCACTTTTCAAAAAAGTGGACAGAATAAAGAATTTTAAACTAAGCATACACTTAATTTTTTTTTATTTTTAAAAATAAAAAGCAAATTGTTGCTATGTAGCACTGAATTGAATTGCAGTCATCGATAAACTCTTACAAAAGGTACTTATGTTTTTGTTCTGTTGAAGCGGAGACAAGCACTTTTTGTAGACTTAATTGTCAACTGCAACTTGATTTTTCACACTTATTCGGGGCTTGCTTTTTCATATTTAATAAAAAATTATCGAAAAAACAAGGGCATGTAATAAGTAGTAAAAGATTCTTGCAGCATAATGAAATAAATGTCTGGCAATAGAATATCTATTAGCATAAAAATGCTACTGTCACATTGATAAGCCTGATTATGTTGAACACCCCCCTTTTCATAAAAAAATAATGTACACATTGCCAAACATTTACTTCATATATATATGATTGGTTCGTAAGCATGAAACTTAGAGTAGCAAATAAATGTTTTTGACCTAGTTCAAGTCTATGTATCTATATATATATATATAGGACGTACGGTAGATATATATATATATATATAATTACAATCCAAGAGCTGGGTTATTTAAACATTTACTGCAACTCTTGCTTCTTGTTGCCTGATCATTGCTTTGCAAGAAGCATGAAACTCAGCGTTACAGTAAATGTTTAAATAACCCAGCTCTTGGATCATAATTATCCATAGCTCTAGCTCTGCTATTGAGCACTTTATAGTAGATGAGGATTTCAATCCACTTAAAACATGATAAAAAAAATGAAATGGCATTTTACCTTAAGGAAGCTTCTCTTAGTGTGCCAGTCCACTATTCTGAATGGATACAGGTGATCCAATCTGTCTTGTGGAGTGTGGCATCCTGCTCTCAAATCTTTTGCACCAGCCAATCTTACTCTTGTTAGTTGGTCGCCATAACAAGGTATTTTAACATTTGCTAGAGGATCTTCAGTCTGGGGAACTGGTGGCACATGCGAAGCTGGTTGATCCGGTCTAGCAGGAGCCCCAATGGGAGGACCAGGTGGGACATGCTCTGGGTCTGCAGGATTGCAAAGGCCAGCCTTACTGTATATCTCGCGTGTCCAGAGCTCAAGCTGATCAAGCACATCAACAACCTCAGCATACTTCTTTTCATCTTTGAGGAGGACTGGCAGTGGTACCACAACTGATTTGGTACTCATCTCCGTGTGATACTCACAAGGTGTATGATCAGGGACAAAGTCCTTAAGAAAATCAAATGCTGGAAAGAACTCAACTAAGATTCGTCCAATGAACACTTTGTACCGCTCCCTTGTACATCTTTTTTCCTCATCATTGAGACTTAAGGTGTCTTTGAGGTTGCAATTTGCCAGACTGTTTTTTGGGCCAGCATCTGGTAAGTGCTTAGAAGAAACACGATCAAATACTATGCTGGTGGCCACAGCATGGACACTTCGGTTTTGCTTGTCAGACCTCATGTCATGCACCTTGACGTCCCAATCAACATTGTCCAGAACAAATACAAATGATCTGCCTTCCTTTACAAGCTGTACGACATGATCCAGGAAATGTTTCCCTATTTCTTCTTGAATAGTATATTTCATGGATTTCTCCAGGCAAAATCCATACTTGTTAAGACTATCTACAAGCTTAAAATAGAATAGAAACATAATTTTGCTGTTTTACCTGAAAAGGATCTAAATATTTCACCATTCCCTGGGAGGCGTGCAGGGAATCATGGTTTTTGCATGCAAAGTCTTAAAGATGTCAAGAGTTGGAGCGTTGTATGCATACAACTATCATGAGTCCCTGCACACAATCAGGCATTGGTAACTGAAGAGACTAAATTGTTTTAATTTGGCCATGTTTACCAAGGAAATTCCACACCCATTTTTCATGGTCTGTCTCTGCAAACCTTTACTCTCAAATGTACACAAATTCTTCTAAGATTATTAAATTTACCCTTAAATATACCTCAAATACTGAAAACCTGGTTAAAATGATCTTTGCATGGTATAATATTAGTAAAACCGTTAATAGCAATAATGATAATGAAGTCGTATAGAAACCCTCCCAAAAAAATATTGAATTGCAAAATATCCAAAAGTCACAGAAATAATTGCAATGTACAATTGATGGGTAAAATTCTCTAAACCTTCGTTATTAATACATGTAACGACTCCTGAATATTTAAGCTTTATTATCAGCTGATTATAAGTAGTTCAATTCTGTAGTCTACACACCTCTTGACTTGCACCGCCGTCATTAAGAAGGACTGTGTTGACTCGCTGAACACGGCTCAACTCTTTGCATCTCCTAAACATAATGATTCCATATATAAGAGCCAAAGGAGCTGTCTTTTTATCGGAGTTGTGACTGAGTTGGATCATCTGCGATAACAACTTGAACACTGTTGGACATTGAGTCTCTACTTCTTTGACAATCTCCTCGAAGTTTAGCGTACTCATACCGGGAAATCCTCGTTCTCTTAGAACCGACTTTGTCACTCTTCGCGCCACCTCTAACAACTCATTTTCTACTTTAACAAGAACTTTTTGCAGAATGTCTTCAAATCTGTCTTCGTCAGCTAAAGGGCTTCTTATCTACAGGAAAATACGAAGGTGAAATTAACAACGGCATCCTTGTCGAGCAAGTTAGAATCTTACTCAGTAATTCTGAAATTATTTGACAAGTAACCGAACAACAAGCCTATGAATGAATGAAAACAAGCTTAAAAATAAATTTACCTTTGGTTGAGCTGGATTTTCTTGCAGATTCATGGTTTGAGAGATCTCCAGTGGTTCCGGTAAGTCATTCTGAAGGTGTGAGAAAATATTTGAGGTGTCACAATCGTGAATCACCATACAAACAACGAAATAAATGGAATGCTGTCGTACCCACGCAGAAGAATTATTAATGACACAAAAATTATATTTTTCTTTTTCTTACCTCCTTTTCAGTTAAAGACAAGTCTTTTTTATCACCAGCGACGGCGAAATTCAGACCGCGGCGACGACGAGTAGTAGTATTACTGGTATCATCCTTCGCGCTCTTCAGCGTTCGGGGCGCCGACGGTGATGCTTCAATACATCTTTTCACTCTATTGCTCCTTTGGAAGTGACTTTGGCTTTCAGTGATCATAGCCCTGAATGCTTTGAAATTATTTAACCGTCGTTCACAAGGCCTACATAGTAGATGTGGCCTTAATTCATTCCCAGGTAGAGTTACTCCATACACCGCCTCAGCCACTGCGAGCAATTCTTTATTTGACTTCTTAAAGAGATTTTTATAATACTTAAAGTCCTTAACTGAACCACACAACCTACAGCAACTTTGATTTCCGTTATCAGACGATGGATAAGTTTTTTTTGGCGTTTGCAAAATATTGCCGACATTGCCGCAGAACAACATATCGTGGAAGCACGTAAAACCGGGTGTATTTTGGTGACAACATATTCCGCACTCACGTAGGCTCAGTATGGACAAAATTAATACTAGGGCGCCCCTCCCTTCAATGATTTAACTGTCATCTCCCACGTGACCGCTTGGGCGGGAAGATGAGAGACCCTGGGAACGAGGTTGGCATCTTCCAAGACTAACCTTAAGAAAAGAAAACAAAGGAATTTTAGACTTGTCAGGTGACTTGTTGTATCGCAATGTTGAAACATTCAAAATGTTAAGGGAAAATAGAAATGATATGCACCATGTTGGCTCCTCAACCGTATTTGTGTCCAAAAATGAAGCAAGTAGATGAGCAAAATCTTTGTTTAATGTTGCTCTGACACGCATTCCATCTTTGACCTCGATGCACGAAGAATCTCCTGGGTTTGAAGCGTTGCGGCATAATCTATAGCTGCTCCTGGGGTTAAGTTCTTTAACAGGCTTATAAAAACATGCCAACAGCAGGGACGCGTTCGCCTGGTATGGCATCGACTTTCTCTTAAATTTTCAGGTTATTACTTGGTGTTACGGTGCACGAATTTATGCTAATTAGTATATGCCAATGTCTATATCATATAATGAAAATATCACGGGGTCATGGGTTATAGGTTTCGTGGTGTCAATGGTTTCATAGTTTCATGTGTTTCATGGTTTCATAGGTTTCGTGGTGTCAACGGTTTCATAGTTTCATGTGTTTCATGGTTTCATAGGTTTCGTGGTGTCAATGGTTTCATGGTTTCATAGGTTTTGTGGCGTCAATGGTCTCATAGGTTTCGTGGTGTCAATGGTTTCATAGGTTTCGTGGTGTCAACGGTTTCATAGTTTCATGTGATTCGTGGTTTCATAGGTTTCGGGGTGTCAATGGTTTCATGGTTTCGTGGTGTCAAGGGTTTTGTGGTGTCAGTGGTTTCATGGTTTCGTAGGTTTCATGGTGTCAATGGTTTCAAGGTTTCATAGGTTTCGTGATGTCTATGGTTTCATGGTTTCATAGGTTTTGCGGTGTCAATGGTTTCACGGTTTCATAGGTTCATGGTGTCAGGGTTTTATGGTTTCATAGGTTTTGTGGTGTCAAGGGTTTCATGGTTTCATAGGTTTCGTGGTGTCAATGGTTTCATAGTTTCATGTGTTTCGTGGTTTCATAGGTTTCGTGGTGTCAATTGTTTCATGGTTTCATAGGTTTCGAGGTGTCAATGGTTTCATGGTGTCATAGGCTTTGCAGTGTCAATGGTTTCATGGTTTGATAGGTTTCATGGTTTTATGGTGTCAGTGGTTTCATGGTTTCATAGGTTTCATGCTTTCGTAGGTTTTGTGGTGTCAAGGATTTCATAGTTTCGTGGTGTCAATGGTTTCATGGGTTCATAGGTTTTGTGGTCTCAGGGGTTTCATGGTTTCATGGTGTCAGTGTAAAATGGGATTGACAGGCCTACACGACTCTCCATCGCGTATTTAAAATAGCACTTTTATAGTTTGCCTCTCGCGAGTATGTCTTTGAGCGACCGCCCTCTTTTATAAGATACGAGAGGTGGTTTTTTGTAGATTTCGCTCAGTAATGGTTGTTCTATTAAATGCCAGTTTTTCATGAGATTTTGCTTTAGGTTAGGCACTGATGGTTGGTGTTGTGTGACAAAAGGCAAGGTTGTTCAATTTGTGACCCCTACAAGCCAGTTTACTCCCTTTGAGAGCAATGGTCTCGTGTATAAGCCGCACCCGCGATTTTTGACTCAAAATTTCGGCAAAAAGGTGCGGCTTATACACGAGTTTTTACGGTATTCATGCTACGGCCTAAAAAAAATTCAAACGCAGAATTTAATATGAAAAAAAATTCCTATGGCTTGAAAATTCTCCACCCCCATCCCCCTCAATAACTTTTCTAATGGCCCGTCCCTAAATTGTCTATATTCTGAGCTAAGTTCCATAAATGATGCCCCTGCAATGCGGGATAGCTACATTTATAAAGGAACGATTAACCTTTGTTAGTTTATTTCGGGTAAAATGTTACTTTCAATCACGGGCACCCAAGAACGTTGTCTGTAAAATTTCTGTTCGGGGAAGCAAATATCTCCTAGAATTTTCTATTGCTTGAGAACGGCTAAACATTTATAGACGAGCGTTCCATTCAGGTACAATTTCCGAAGCCTTGTTATCTAAAAAATTCTCTACATTTTACTCGAGTTACATGGGCTAATTTTCTTGGAAAGTGGAAATCTAAAATTTTTGGATTCAAAAATGTGATAAAAAGAGGAATAAGAAAAATTCTGAATTTCGTAAATCGTTCAACTGCATCCAGAGCTCAAAATAATTTCCGGAGAGTGAAATTTATTTTAGCTTGGTCACCTATTGTTTCTGGCCGGTCAAATTTATCTGATAAATATCTCTTAAAGCAGGGGCCCATGAACCAAAACTAGCATTATATATTTCCGAGAAAGTCCTTGCTTGGAGCTTATAGCACAACAGCACTCACTCGGCCATCAACATGAAGTACAGTAAAAACCCGCAAGTAAGAACCTACATTTTTAGGAGTTAGCCTAAACAGGTTCTTATATAAATGGTACTTAACAAAATTTAAGGCTATTTAGGTTCTTAAAATAGGTTCTTATTCTTGGAGAAAAACACACCTGCATAACAAGTTGGTAATTGTCCTATATTTTAATTTTATTCACCACACCACCCCTACCCCACCCCCCCAAAAATGAAAATAATAGAAATTTGTATATTTACATCTAATTATATGCTTTGCCTAGCTGTACTAAGCTTTAACTGTAACATTTAAAAAAAGAATATTAAAAACGGGTAAACAGAGCCCAAAATTTCTATAAATTTATGGTCCTTCTTTCAACTTGATCCAGTTTAGTTCAAAGCCAAAACATGGTATAATATCAACTGTATAACTGTCAAAATGTATAGTCCTCAAGTCCTTGAGGCTTAATAATGTCATCATCACTTCCATCAATAGTGATTAAGCATCCTGTTTTCTGAAAAAGTCTCTTGATAAAATCTCTGGGCTTCACCAGTACCCTCCATGCTGCACCTGCCCACTTTGTCATGAGGATTCTCCTCTGTCGTGCAGTTATTTTGTCGTGCCACAGTTCTAAATTGTCCTTCTCTTCAAGCCACTTGCCCATCTCCTGTCCAATTTTGGTTTTTAGCATTTTACCAAACCCTGCATCAATGGGTTGTATCTTGTCAGTGTGGTTTTCAGGCAAAAGATATACAATAGTGGTGAGTTTATGTCTGCAAGTATCATGGAACTTCTCTTATCTTGTTGGAATGTTACATTGTCAGCAAAGATAACTTTCTCTTCTGGTGAGTTGCCAATGCCTGGAGCAAGTGTTTTGGTTACCCATTGCATATTAATATCACTGTCCATCCAGGCACAGCTTTGATGCAATTTGCCAGACTGTTTTTTGGGCCAGCATCTGGTAAGTGCTTAGAAGAAACACGATCAAATACTATGCTGGTGGCCACAGCATGGACACTTCGGTTTTGCTTGTCAGACCTCATGTCATGCACCTTGATGTCCCAATCAACATTGTCCAGAACAAATACAAATGATCTGCCTTCCTTTACAAGCTGTATGACATGATCCAGGAAATGTTTCCCTATTTCTTCTTGAATAGTATATTTCATGGATTTCTCCAGGCAAAATCCATACTTGTTGAGCCTATCTACAAGCTTAAAATAGAATAGAAACATAATTTTGCTGTTTTACCTGAAAAGGATCTAAATATTTCACCATTCCCTGGGAGGCGTGCAGGGAATCATGGTTTGCATGCAAAGTCTTAAAGATGTCAAGAGTTGGAGCGGTGTATGCATACAACTATCATGAGTCCCTGCACACAATCAGGCATTGGTAACTGAAGAGACTAAATTGTTTTAATTTGGCCATGTTTACCAAGGAAATTCCACACCCATTTTTCATGGTCTGTCTCTGCAAACCTTTACTCTCGAATGTACACAAATTCTTCTAAGATTATTAAATTTACCCTTAAATATACCTCAAATACTGAAAACCTGGTTAAAATGATCTTTGCATGGTATAATATTAGTAAAACCGTTAATAGCAATAATGATAATGAAGTCGTATAGAAACCCTCCCAAAAAAATATTGAATTGCAAAAGATCCAAAAGTCACGGAAATAATTGCAATGTACAATTGATGGGTAAAATTCTCTAAACCTTCGTTATTAATACATGTAAAGACTCCTGAATATTTAAGCTTTATTATAAGTAGTTCAATTCTGTAGTCTACACACCCCTTGACGTGCACCGCCGTCATTAAGAAGGACTGTGTTGACTCGCTGAACTCTTTGCATCTCCTAAACATAATGATTCCATATATAAGAGCCAAAGGAGCTGTCTTTTTATCGGAGTTGTGACTGAGTTGGATCATCTGCGATAACAACTTGAACACTGTTGGACATTGAGTCTCTACTTCTTTGACAATCTCCTCGAAGTTTAGCGTACTCATACCGGGAAATCCTCGTTCTCTTAGAACCGACTTTGTCACTCTTCGCGCCACCTCTAACAACTCATTTTCTACTTTAACAAGAACTTTTTGCAGAATGTCTTCAAATCTGTCTTCGTCAGCTAAAGGGCTTCTTATCTACAGGAAAATACGAAGGTGAAATTAACAACGGCATCCTTGTCGAGCAAGTTAGAATCTTACTCAGTAATTCTGAAATTATTTGACAAGTAACCGAACAACAAGCCTATGAATGAATGAAAACAAGCTTAAAAATAAATTTACCTTTGGTTGAGCTGGATTTTCTTGCAGATTCATGGTTTGAGAGATCTCCAGTGGTTCCGGTAAGTCATTCTGAAGGTGTGAGAAAATATTTGAGGTGTCACAATCGTGAATCACCATACAAACAACGAAATAAATGGAATGCTGTCGTACCCACGCAGAAGAATTATTAATGACACAAAAATTATATTTTTCTTTTTCTTACCTCCTTTTCAGTTAAAGACAAGTCTTTTTTATCACCAGCGACGGCGAAATTCAGACCGCGGCGACGACGAGTAGTAGTATTACTGGTATCATCCTTCGCGCTCTTCAGCGTTCGGGGCGCCGACGGTGATGCTTCAATACATCTTTTCACTCTATTGCTCCTTTGGAAGTGACTTTGGCTTTCAGTGATCATAGCCCTGAATGCTTTGAAATTATTTAACCGTCGTTCACAAGGCCTACATAGTAGATGTGGCCTTAATTCATTCCCAGGTAGAGTTACTCCATACACCGCCTCAGCCACTGCGAGCAATTCTTTATTTGACTTCTTAAAGAGATTTTTATAATACTTAAAGTCCTTAACTGAACCACACAACCTACAGCAACTTTGATTTCCGTTATCAGACGATGGATAAGTTTTTTTTGGCGTTTGCAAAATATTGCCGACATTGCCGCAGAACAACATATCGTGGAAGCACGTAAAACCGGGTGTATTTTGGTGACAACATATTCCGCACTCACGTAGGCTCAGTATGGACAAAATTAATACTAGGGCGCCCCTCCCTTCAATGATTTAACTGTCATCTCCCACGTGACCGCTTGGGCGGGAAGATGAGAGACCCTGGGAACGAGGTTGGCATCTTCCAAGACTAACCTTAAGAAAAGAAAACAAAGGAATTTTAGACTTGTCAGGTGACTTGTTGTATCGCAATGTTGAAACATTCAAAATGTTAAGGGAAAATAGAAATGATATGCACCATGTTGGCTCCTCAACCGTATTTGTGTCCAAAAATGAAGCAAGTAGATGAGCAAAATCTTTGTTTAATGTTGCTCTGACACGCATTCCATCTTTGACCTCGATGCACGAAGAATCTCCTGGGTTTGAAGCGTTGCGGCATAATCTATAGCTGCTCCTGGGGTTAAGTTCTTTAACAGGCTTATAAAAACATGCCAACAGCAGGGACGCGTTCGCCTGGTATGGCATCGACTTTCTCTTAAATTTTCAGGTTATTACTTGGTGTTACGGTGCACGAATTTATGCTAATTAGTATATGCCAATGTCTATATCATATAATGAAAATATCACGGGGTCATGGGTTATAGGTTTCGTGGTGTCAATGGTTTCATAGTTTCATGTGTTTCATGGTTTCATAGGTTTCGTGGTGTCAACGGTTTCATAGTTTCATGTGTTTCATGGTTTCATAGGTTTCGTGGTGTCAATGGTTTCATGGTTTCATAGGTTTTGTGGCGTCAATGGTCTCATAGGTTTCGTGGTGTCAATGGTTTCATAGGTTTCGTGGTGTCAACGGTTTCATAGTTTCATGTGATTCGTGGTTTCATAGGTTTCGGGGTGTCAATGGTTTCATGGTTTCGTGGTGTCAAGGGTTTTGTGGTGTCAGTGGTTTCATGGTTTCGTAGGTTTCATGGTGTCAATGGTTTCAAGGTTTCATAGGTTTCGTGATGTCTATGGTTTCATGGTTTCATAGGTTTTGCGGTGTCAATGGTTTCACGGTTTCATAGGTTCATGGTGTCAGGGTTTTATGGTTTCATAGGTTTTGTGGTGTCAAGGGTTTCATGGTTTCATAGGTTTCGTGGTGTCAATGGTTTCATAGTTTCATGTGTTTCGTGGTTTCATAGGTTTCGTGGTGTCAATTGTTTCATGGTTTCATAGGTTTCGAGGTGTCAATGGTTTCATGGTGTCATAGGCTTTGCAGTGTCAATGGTTTCATGGTTTGATAGGTTTCATGGTTTTATGGTGTCAGTGGTTTCATGGTTTCATAGGTTTCATGCTTTCGTAGGTTTTGTGGTGTCAAGGATTTCATAGTTTCGTGGTGTCAATGGTTTCATGGGTTCATAGGTTTTGTGGTCTCAGGGGTTTCATGGTTTCATGGTGTCAGTGTAAAATGGGATTGACAGGCCTACACGACTCTCCATCGCGTATTTAAAATAGCACTTTTATAGTTTGCCTCTCGCGAGTATGTCTTTGAGCGACCGCCCTCTTTTATAAGATACGAGAGGTGGTTTTTTGTAGATTTCGCTCAGTAATGGTTGTTCTATTAAATGCCAGTTTTTCATGAGATTTTGCTTTAGGTTAGGCACTGATGGTTGGTGTTGTGTGACAAAAGGCAAGGTGCGTAGGTTTGTCTTTGGTTTCTGTTGAAGGGCTAGTTTCCTGTCTTTGAAATTTACCTCTGAGAAGGTTGTGTTAATGAGATCCTCTGGGTAGCCCCTCTGTGAAGCAGATGCGCTTTGAAATTTGTAATTTTCTCTTCGAATATTATTTTGGAAGAGTTTCTTCTGAGGAGTCGAAGGGGTTCCCCTTGAATGAAGCCTTTTTTAACTCCTTGCAGGTGACAGGAACCAAAATGGGTATACCACGAAACCTATGAAACCACGAAACACATAAAACTATGAAACCATGAAACCATTGACACCACGAAACCTATGAAACCACGAAACTATTGACACCACGAAACCTATGAAACCGTGAAACCATTGACATCACAAAATTTATGAAACCATGAAACCATTGACACCACGAAACCTATGAAACCATTGACACCACGAAACCTATGAAACCATGAAACCATTGACACCACGAAACCTATGAAACCATTGACACCACGAAACCTATGAAACCATTGACACCACGAAACCTATGAAACCATGAAACCTTTGACACCACGATTTGGTCAATTTTCATTTTCATTTTGCTGTGTTACCTAAACAGGCTGAAAGTCGGAGGGGAGAAAGTTTACTAAAGCAAGACAAGCACAGAAAACGAGCCTATCTTTGAAACAAAGCTCTCTGGAAGAGAATGCATTCATGCGAAATGCCTTTTACCTTTATGCAGACACAACTATAATTAGTTTTCTTGACACTTTTTGAATTTAAGAAGGGTACGAAAACGAAATCTTCATTTTAAATGCTTCCCAGTTCATGTGATTCAAATACACCACCACGTGGATTACATAACAGTTATAGCTCGGTATAACAAAAATTCCAGTGAATACTTGCTCGCAGGAAAGCTGAAGTGCTGCGGTCATAACTGTAGGTGGTAACGAGTCGGTCAGAGTTTTTGGTTGTCCCTTTTTATAAGGCCAATTTACCGGTAGATTACTCTCTTTTTTTCTTAGTACTCAATGAAAAAGACAGACTGCACGCAGTCTAATCTATTAGCTAGACCTCCTTACAAAGTGCTTGCTGATACAGCCCAAGATTTACTAGTTAATTTTGACAAACCACTACTAAATCCGAGGAGAATGTCAATAACAAAAGCCCACCACGTTGAAAAAAAGTTCAAACTGCCCGGAAACAAATGGAAATGAAGTGCTTTGAATGTTCTTTCATCAATTCCCGCTAAGGCCAAGGATAAGGAAGATTAGTATATACACACTCTGATTTTTGTGATTTAAGCAATCTGATTGGTTCGCTATCTCGAACTTTTCAACAATATTCACCTCCTAAGGAGTGGATAATGTGTGAGCGCGGTTTTTTTCCAATTTTCTTAGAGAAAGATCTTTTAAAAGTCGACAAAATCCTAGGGTTGACTTTTTTTCAGGCAAGAAAAGACTTCAAAGGATTCAAAACGGCGTTTTTCCACTTACTGTTTGTGGTCGATGGATTGTTTACAACTCCCGTTTATTCGCCTAGAAGAGGCTGTTTCGTGAACTCAGCGTTTCCTAACAAGAAAAATTTGGCCCAAAAACGAAGTTTATTTATGACAAACAAATTTGAAAGCAAATGTTTGCAGAAATTGTATGTTTCAAGTAAACACGAGAAACAATGCTACATGAAGACGACGTCTTACCTAAAGGAAACGAATCGCCATTTTTGTCAGCACTTCATGTGAAGAACGACACAACAAACCTTTTCGGCTATAAACTTGGCAGGTCAACAGGAAACAACAAAGCTCTTCTTTTCTTCTCAGGTAAGGAAACAATTCAAACTTTTAGCGGTTCCATTTAAGTCATTATGCTGTTGTTTGTGAAGTGATAAGCTTGTGAATTACCATGTTTGATAATTCTACAAAGATCTGTTTTTAAATTGTCACATGTCTAGCTGACCTGATCTGTCAATCAAATCATACTTTTGAAAATTAAATGAAAAAAAATTCATGCACGCCAGTTAGCCCTAAAATTACCGTAAAAACTCGTGTATAAGCCGCACTCGTGTATAAGCCGCACCCCCAACTTTCAAGCATGATTTTGAAAAAAAAAAAAAACCAAAAATGCGCTTTTGTAAAAAAGGTGATTGTTTGTTCACGCACCAAAATGTTCACAAATAAACTTGAGGAAATTTAATGTTGTGTATTTGCAGTGACATTTTAAATAAGTTAATCAACTCTGAAAATACCTTTTAAAAGGTTCTCTTTAATCAATTTCCTCATTTCCTGCGAAAGACAACAGTTCTCTTCATTGCTAAAGCCCACAGTTGAAATGAAAATGGAACGATGGAACGAAAATAAAGCACTGGAGAATGCTACAAAACGATTGCTTAGTAACCACTCGTTTATTTGACGAGGGAAGTCTGGACACCAGAGAAGGACACAAGTAAACAAATGCTGGACTTGTGAAGACTGTTTTTACAAAACTGAATAATATATTTACAAGTAACAGGTACAGATATCTTGATATTAGAAAACGAACGAGAGTTTAACAACCCAATGGACAAACACGCCGTGAAAGTAGTGAAGGACGACGAAACGGTCGGCCATTTGCCTCGCGAATTCTCTCGAATAGTGTGGTATTTTCTTGCACGTAGTGGGGAAATCAGCGTTGAAGTGATCAGTCGCAGACGACACTGTAAGCAGCTGTGCGGAAGAATGGAGATTCCGTGCCAGTTAGAGTTTAACTGCTCAAACAAAGCGCAGATGAAACGCTTAAAAGAACTACTGGCGAGCAAGATTCAGGTATAGAACCTGAAGATGCAAACAATTTGCTCCTTTAGGAGCCACCACTTCTACTGAAAGTAATGATCAACGACAGGTTTCAATATGTTTAATCTTTATTTACTGAAGGTTTTCATTTCAATTTGTGACCCCTACAAGCCAGTTTACTCCCTTTGAGAGCAATGGTCTCGTGTATAAGCCGCACCCGCGATTTTTGACTCAAAATTTCGGCAAAAAGGTGCGGCTTATACACGAGTTTTTACGGTATTCATGCTACGGCCTAAAAAAAATTCAAACGCAGAATTTAATATGAAAAAAAATTCCTATGGCTTGAAAATTCTCCACCCCCATCCCCCTCAATAACTTTTCTAATGGCCCGTCCCTAAATTGTCTATATTCTGAGCTAAGTTCCATAAATGATGCCCCTGCAATGCGGGATAGCTACATTTATAAAGGAACGATTAACCTTTGTTAGTTTATTTCGGGTAAAATGTTACTTTCAATCACGGGCACCCAAGAACGTTGTCTGTAAAATTTCTGTTCGGGGAAGCAAATATCTCCTAGAATTTTCTATTGCTTGAGAACGGCTAAACATTTATAGACGAGCGTTCCATTCAGGTACAATTTCCGAAGCCTTGTTATCTAAAAAATTCTCTACATTTTACTCGAGTTACATGGGCTAATTTTCTTGGAAAGTGGAAATCTAAAATTTTTGGATTCAAAAATGTGATAAAAAGAGGAATAAGAAAAATTCTGAATTTCGTAAATCGTTCAACTGCATCCAGAGCTCAAAATAATTTCCGGAGAGTGAAATTTATTTTAGCTTGGTCACCTATTGTTTCTGGCCGGTCAAATTTATCTGATAAATATCTCTTAAAGCAGGGGCCCATGAACCAAAACTAGCATTATATATTTCCGAGAAAGTCCTTGCTTGGAGCTTATAGCACAACAGCACTCACTCGGCCATCAACATGAAGTACAGTAAAAACCCGCAAGTAAGAACCTACATTTTTAGGAGTTAGCCTAAACAGGTTCTTATATAAATGGTACTTAACAAAATTTAAGGCTATTTAGGTTCTTAAAATAGGTTCTTATTCTTGGAGAAAAACACACCTGCATAACAAGTTGGTAATTGTCCTATATTTTAATTTTATTCACCACACCACCCCTACCCCACCCCCCCAAAAATGAAAATAATAGAAATTTGTATATTTACATCTAATTATATGCTTTGCCTAGCTGTACTAAGCTTTAACTGTAACATTTAAAAAAAGAATATTAAAAACGGGTAAACAGAGCCCAAAATTTCTATAAATTTATGGTCCTTCTTTCAACTTGATCCAGTTTAGTTCAAAGCCAAAACATGGTATAATATCAACTGTATAACTGTCAAAATGTATAGTCCTCAAGTCCTTGAGGCTTAATAATGTCATCATCACTTCCATCAATAGTGATTAAGCATCCTGTTTTCTGAAAAAGTCTCTTGATAAAATCTCTGGGCTTCACCAGTACCCTCCATGCTGCACCTGCCCACTTTGTCATGAGGATTCTCCTCTGTCGTGCAGTTATTTTGTCGTGCCACAGTTCTAAATTGTCCTTCTCTTCAAGCCACTTGCCCATCTCCTGTCCAATTTTGGTTTTTAGCATTTTACCAAACCCTGCATCAATGGGTTGTATCTTGTCAGTGTGGTTTTCAGGCAAAAGATATACAATAGTGGTGAGTTTATGTCTGCAAGTATCATGGAACTTCTCTTATCTTGTTGGAATGTTACATTGTCAGCAAAGATAACTTTCTCTTCTGGTGAGTTGCCAATGCCTGGAGCAAGTGTTTTGGTTACCCATTGCATATTAATATCACTGTCCATCCAGGCACAGCTTTGAAAGTAAACGTCAACCCCCTCATCATATTGAGCTTTCTCTTCTGTACTAACATTTCCTTTTCCCCGAAATACAATACCCGGCTTGACGTTTTGTTGACCCTCTGCCCAAATGCAAAGGTGCAAAGTAGCTTGCCTCTTGTCCAGGCCACTTGAGGGTTGTGAAACCCACACTTGCTCACTCCCTTTCATTTCATAGGTTTTATCTTGATCAGTCACAAAAGGAAGGGGTACTTTATCGACATTGTACCTGTTTTGGGGTAGCCAACGCCCATATTTACCATCCAGCTTAGCATTATTTCGCCGTCTTGTTGTTTTGAGGGATGTTCTAAGATTTCTGTGGAAACCCTGAATTGTCTCCTTACCGTCACTGGCTGCAGACTTTTTCTTGTTCGATCGTCTCCGGAAAGCAATGTTATGGCGCTTTTTGAACCTCTGAAACCAGTTGTTACTAGCTTTGAATTTCTGAGCTGCCTCTTTTCCGTAACATGCCTCAACCTCTCCTTCATTTTCTTTTTCAACCACAGTTTTGAAATCTTGCATCCTTTTGCTCTTCGGAGTTTAAACTCCACAACAACACACTCAGCCGCAAGTGGAAACTTCTCGGCTTTTACTTTTCCACACGCAAGTTGTCTTCTTTGCCGTGTAGGTCTTGCTGCACCTTTGTTCTTCTTTGTCTTGTTGAGAGCTAGCTGACTTCGAAGTTTTTCCCGGTCCTTCTTCCATTTAACTACCAATGATTTGCTGACCCCTCTTCTTTCTGCAACCTTTTCCCAGAGCTTTTTTGTCTTAAGCTCTTTCATAGCATCTAGAAGATCCAGAGTTTTTATCTTGAAATCTATGGTGTAAGATTTCCTCTCATTCGCTCCTCGACGATTGTTGGTCTTGATTCCAGATTCACGGTCCTCTATCTCGGTCAAATCGCATGTGGTTTCTAGAGTTTCTTCGTCCACATCTTCCTGATCAGTAGCTTGGTTAGCACTGTTTGAAGTTTTCGATGAAGAGCTGCTTTGGCTGAGTTTTGATTTCGACAGCTGATCTGGATGTTTGAATCGCACGTGAGTAGTGAGATATTTCTCCTCCGCCAATGAATTGTGGCAAATTTCACACTTTACAGGCTTGTCAGGAAGCGCGACTGTCTTTGAAAGGCCTGCAGATACATCAAAGAGCTTGCCACTTTTTGTTTCTACTTGTTTCTTGAAACCAAAGTGGAATAAAGTGTGATTCATTTCCTAAGCTGGAGAAAGTCTAGTCGAGAAATCCCACAGCTGTCAGACTCACGTGTGTTGAAGCGCGAAGCGCTGAAGCGTTGTGTTTACATTATTTCTGGACAGGAAATGACATTTCTTGAAACTCAATGCAAATGGCCAGCGGTACTACCCAAACTCTTCACACATTCTTGTCAAAAACAACTCACAAATCGTGCAAAATTCAGCTGTTTCCTTTACTTTGTTTGCTGCATTATTTGGCACAAGCTAGAAATTGATAATGTCTGGAGTGCATGAGGTGGTTGTGGAGTCAAGTGTTTGAGGTTATCACGCATACTTTAAATATTTGACTGTACGTGTAGGGGATCTCATGATGTGTGACATTGAAGAAGACAATCCCCATGACAAATATGCTGTGGCAGTGAAGAATGAATCTGGTCAAACTGTGGGTCATATACCTATTGAGATTTCGAAGATTATGAACAAGTTTATTCGTGACTGTGGAGAGGTTGAGGTTGAGTGCATTGGACACAGATATAATGTTGGCCAAGGAAAAGGACTCGAGATTCCTGTGGACTATAGGCTGATTGGGAATCAGCAGTAT